ATGCGGATCTCGTCCGTCATTGTCGTTTGCTGAACACCGCGCTGAGGCATGCCTTGTATGTGATCGTTGTTGTGCTTTTGTGTGGTTCGCGTATTGGTGTGGAACTGGCTTAGCTGATAGCCTCTGTTATCTGATGAAATATTTTGGTCTCGAGGATATCAGTTTACACAGGCTCTACTTTAGTGGTGGCCACAGCTTGGGGCTATCCGGGCTGGCTGGCACTCAAAGTATCCGGCAGAAATGAACCGGCTGGACCTTAGAAGAAAATAAAATCCGTTTTCGTGTTTGTAAAGTGATATTGTTACAGCAGAGACAGACGGTAATATACTCCATAGTTGACATGACACAAACGCTGTCATGAAATTTTCGTGTGCCAAGAGAATCTGATGGCCTCAAAGTCCACGAGAAAAATAGCGAAGGTAATTGTAAAACAGTTAATTGCTAGGTGCAACTCCATATGAAATGATGTCAAGGTCTATTCAACTGCTCCTCGCCGCAAAATGGCAAAAGACTGGCTATTAACATCGCAGACGCAAGAAGAATGTCTCTGCCATTGCCAAATGCGTACGTTGTCTCGGACACAAGAAGGTGGCGTGATGTGTGCATTTCCTTGTGACACTGATGTTGACACCTGGCTGACTCATCATGAGAATGCTTCACGTCAAAATCCTTACTTAACGCTGCTAAAGGCGACGTTGAGCTGAAAACACCCAATAATGACAGATTCGTTGCAATCGTGGTAGGAGTAGTCAAGCAGCGTTCAATTGAGGGAGAATGTATTAGTTGCATACTACGAGGCCAACTGACTGCTCTCACTGCATCGTTTTGGCGACAGGATCTCGACCAACTCCACACATCGAGCATGGGAAAAACGCAGCCCTTCCGAGTGTAAGCAAACAAGTTGCAGTGTCGCGACGAGTATCGTGACGCAGATGAAGAGTGAACGAAGAGAAATCAATTTTTTAACTAGGTCTACTCCTTAGCGACTGGAACAGCTACTGCCGAGCCAGCAGGATCATCAAACATGGACGTCACGATCTGCTCGATTTCTTGAGGTGTTTTACCACATTTCGCAAGCTCCAGGACAAAGTGCTGGCGGTCTTTGCCAGCAAGGACGTGGCGCTGATCCAAAGCACGCTGCGTTTGGTTGGTGGTAGCAACAAAGCGGGGCTCCACGATCCTCCATGCCTCCCACTCTTGACGATTTTGATTCGCACACTTGACCGCTTTATTGTCGTCACACTGGAGGACATTTCCAGTGTGGCACGACACGAAGTAGAGAGCGCAACTTGCGTCCGTCTCCATAGTAAAGAGCTCCCACGCGCCAGCCTCAGTGGGATCAAACACGCATTCCCCAGATACGCAAACTTGCAGGAAGCGGCCGTTGTGACCAGACTGGATAGCAATCTTGTCGTCGCGAACTCGATGCAAGACGAGCTGCTCGTAGATGTCACGATTGTCTGTTAGACAACGAGCTTTCTTGGACCCGAGAGGATTCTGCAGATTTCGGTTCTTGCGAATAGACTGAAGAATGACTGGCACACCAAACGGAATCTCGGAAAGATCCATGGTTAATACGTTGTTGCGAGGTGAAAAGGTAAAAGGTATATGCAGGTCAAGAAATGAAGTTGTAAAATGACTGGCCAAGACAATTTTGTAATTTGCAAGAATCTAGCTTTAATGGCGTATTAGTGACGAATAGCATACGGCTTTTACAACATATGAGACGTTATTAAAATGAAACGAGACGATGTACGGCTTTTCTTATATACTTTATGATGTTCCCAAAAAAATAGACTGCAGAGCGCTCATTGCAGAACAGTATAGCGTCAAGCTTTTTTTGTAGTGCTATCCACGACAGGAACATCAGACATTGAGCTTCGAATAATAATTCGACAAGCCAGTTGCAATTGCTCAATTTATTTAGTGTTTTTCCACGCTACAATACGTAGTTTTACGCTTTTTACTCACGTCCTGCTCGATTTGCGCAACTTTGACAGCACCACAAGACTCAGCCATTCGTCATGTATCCCAGTAGTCCTGCGTATCTGCTGGGCATTGTACACTACTACCGCATTGAAGAATAGTTCCAGTGTGGCAAGGCTGTACGTTGCGGTGGACATTGTTTAAATGATGTAGATTATGCGAGGGGCTTGGTAGACGTGTATGTAGAGGGATTGGAACTTGGTCAGTGATATATAAGTAGAGGTAAATATGAATCCATTCTATTCTACCTAGTTGAGCTCTGCGATGATACCTCCAGGCTTGGCGGAGTTAGCGGTAGCGAAATAGCTTCTATGGATGCTAGCCGTGGTGCTCTTTTTTAAATCGTTGACCAACTCCACCTACTTCACCATCCGTTATAATTTGTCAGCAGCCCTCTTCTACGGTCGCAAGCGTATGAACCAATACAAATTCATGCCCCTTGGCGAAGTGGACCCGTCACATCCCATGGCGAAATTCGAGCGCGCCACTCGCAGAAATGCTTTCGCGCTGGCGGGAAGCACAACGATATGGATGACGTGGAGAAGGAAAGCAGTGCAAATGAGCTTCACACTTTTGACGGAGTCTACGGTATTGGCAAGAATTGATTGTACGCCACGTAATTGGTGAAGGTAGAAGCAAGGCCTGCTGTCGGATTAAGAGACGCGCCTCATCTCATTTGACTACGTGCCTGCTGCCTTTCGACAGCATGAGTATCTTCTGGGAGATGGGAAATGTTGTCCCGTGCGCACCATGCACGGAGATCCAACACAATCGCATTTATAACTGGGATGATGCGAGTCTGGTGCACGCAGCCGTGCCACGCATGATCGAGCTGTGAACACTGTGTTTAAACACCTGCAGTGCTTATAGGATACATGCATAGAGCTCATCATGTGTGAAGTTGACTCCCTTGGATACGACCCCTGTGAACCTTGGCCCACACTATCGATATCAAGTACCATCGCATCTGCGCAAGGCAAATCGCGGCGAAGTTGACCTCGTATACTTTGACTTCGGCAACGCTGGCAGACATCATGACCAAGGAACATCACGGCAGTTCCTCCACGCAAACAGTCGCACAAGTCAGTTCGACGGACCTCTGGTCTTAAAGGTAGAAGCAGACAGGAAACGTATCCTGGAAAACTACTAGAATGACTTAAAACTTTTAAAATCTTGTCAACCATCAAAAGTAGGATAAATGTAACCCCGCGCGTTGGAGATGCTCTCAATAATGGTTGTTATACATCTTATCTTACACACACTAAGTCGTGGTCCAACTTGCTCAATCTATGCGTGTGCAATATGATCTTAAAGCTATTATACCTGAGTAAGGAAAAGATTCTGTGCAATTCGTTGATGAAAACATCCAGAAATAGACCTGATGGAGCTAGAAGAGTCCTGGCACCAAGTGTGGCAAAGTACGTGACACTCCGTCTGGTCAAGCACATGACACTAATGCCGTATTCGCGATCACAGGTATTGTGATTGGAGTGTTATCACACTTCCTTATCCGTTAAAATTGCACCACTTCTATTCGCCCGCGATTCGGCGCCATTTACCACACAGCCAAGGAGATTGGAAAAAAATAATCGCAAATAGCTCGCGTTCATCTTGTCACCATGAGGTACAAAGTTGGTGCAACGATAGAAGGTTACGTCTAGCATTGGATCCCCCGTTCAACTTCGTTTGAAGCATCAGTGAAAGCATCGCTTGCCGATCCACAGGCAATTCACATACTTCAGTAATTGTTTCAATATGTCTGTAGCACCCTTCTACTCTCATTATGTCTATTGTCCAGATATATATTTCCACACATCATGGTACAACTTTTTTTTACAATGACGCCTAAACTCATTTTATTGAAATTGTCGTCCTAAGAAAAATGTAAGTTGCATTATTCAGCACTGACCAGGCGTGGTATCAGTTTGCAAGTCGGGAAAAATGTATTGAGAGCTGTCAAGGACCCGTAACACGGATATTTCCAGAACTTGTCTGCTTGATATGAACTCGTTTACCGGGTACATCAACATCAAACGAGAAGTGTCGTAAGCGACTGATTTTCAGCTTTTGTCCTTTCTCGCTTATGGTTATGCCGCACGACGGTGTTGCCCGTGATTCTGCAAATCAGAACACACACATACAGCTTTTACAAATCCTTCTGCAACAAAAAGGCTCGCAACCTTGTCGACAACTGTGACGCCTACGAGCACGTTCCCGTTATTTCCTTCGCAGGAAATGCAGCACGCCATAGTTCGTCCATTTCATCTATTCGGGCCGTGTTAAGGCATCCTTTTCGGACTGTGGCATTCGGTCTGTGCGCACGGGCCGCTTTCTTTAAGCATGTGCATTTAGTAAAATGCGTCCGTCTAAGAAAGGTGGAGGTTTTTATGATGCAAAGGGATACCGATGCAATCTACCTTTCGTTTCGTGCAATTCAGGAATTCTCCTTCAATGCAATAGTAGTGTACATGTACTGGGACAACTGATGGATCGTGGAGCCTTTTGCTGCTGTCAAAGTTGCGCAGATCGAGCAAGACTAACATCGCTACATAAACCGTGTATAAAGAAACTAATCAACTATGATACACATGTTAAATCTCCACAAACTGCGTCAATGTCGAATCGGACTTTAGAATTGAAGCTCAATGACTTTTTGTTCTGTCGTGCAGAAATACAAGTCAGATTTTGTGAGGAATATAGGCTACAAATGACAAGAATATCATTGCAGTTGTAAGCCACACCAAAGCAGAGCCTATACTTTCCCAAAGAAGCGCTTTGCAGTGTCTATTTTCTTGTAACTTTACACTGCAGGAATCGATGGTAATTAAACGTTCGTATATCCGCCACACATGAAAAGGCATCAAAGCCATCCATCTACGGGGAGACCATTCACAAACTGAAAGATGTCTTGGCTAGTCACTTTACAGCTTCAGATCTTGGAATAATTACCTAGCAACAAATTAAATATCTTGCATTTACCTTTTACCTCTCCACCTCGCAACAACGTATTAACCATGGATCTGTCCGAGATTCCGTTTGGTGTGCCTGTCATTCTTCAGTCTATTCGCAAGAACCGAAATCTGCAGAATCCTCTCGGGTCCAAGAAAGCTCGTTGTCTAACAGACAATCGTGACATCTACGAGCAGCTCGTCTTGCATCGAGTTCGCGACGACAAGATTGCTATCCAGTCTGGTCACAACGGCCGCTTCCTGCAAGTTTGCGTATCTGGGGAATGCGTGTTTGATCCCACTGAGGCTGGCGCGTGGGAGCTCTTTACTATGGAGACGGACGCAAGTTGCGCTCTCTACTTCGTGTCGTGCCACACTGGAAATGTCCTCCAGTGTGACGACAATAAAGCGGTCAAGTGTGCGAATCAAAACCGCCAAGAGTGGGGAGGCATGGAGGATCGTGGAGCCCCGCTTTGTTGCTACCACCAACCAAACGCAGCGTGCTTTGGATCAGCGCCACGTCCTCGCTGGCAAAGACCGCCAGCACTTTGTCCTGGAGCTTGCGAAATGTGGTAAAACACCTCAAGAAATCGAGCAGATCGTGACGTCCATGTTTGATGATCCTGCTGACTCGGCAGTAGCTGTTCCAGTCGCTAAGGAGTAGACCTAGTTAAAAAATTGATTTCTCTTCGTTCACTCTTCATCTGCGTCACGATACTCGTCGCGACACTGCAACTTGTTTGCTTACACTCGGAAGGGCTGCGTTTTTCCCATGCTCGATGTGTGGAGTTGGTCGAGATCCTGTCGCCAAAACGATGCAGTGAGAGCAGTCAGTTGGCCTCGTAGTATGCAACTAATACATTCTCCCTCAATTGAACGCTGCTTGACTACTCCTACCACGATTGCAACGAATCTGTCATTATTGGGTGTTTTCAGCTCAACGTCGCCTTTAGCAGCGTTAAGTAAGGATTTTGACGTGAAGCATTCTCATGATGAGTCAGCCAGGTGTCAACATCAGTGTCACAAGGAAATGCACACATCACGCCACCTTCTTGTGACCGAGACAACGTACGCATTTGGCAATGGCGGAGACATTCTTCTTGCGTCTGCGATGTTAATAGCCAGTCTTTTGCCATTTTGCGGCGAGGAGCAGTTGAATAGACCTTGACATCATTTCATATGGAGTTGCACCTAGCAATTAACTGTTTTACAATTACCTTCGCTATTTTTCTCGTGGACTTTGAGGCCATCAGATTCTCTTGGCACACGAAAATTTCATGACAGCGTTTGTGTCATGTCAACTATGGAGTATATTACCGTCTGTCTCTGCTGTAACAATATCACTTTACAAACACGAAAACGGATTTTATTTTCTTCTAAGGTCCAGCCGGTTCATTTCTGCCGGATACTTTGAGTGCCAGCCAGCCCGGATAGCCCCAAGCTGTGGCCACCACTAAAGTAGAGCCTGTGTAAACTGATATCCTCGAGACCAAAATATTTCATCAGATAACAGAGGCTATCAGCTAAGCCAGTTCCACACCAATACGCGAACCACACAAAAGCACAACAACGATCACATACAAGGCATGCCTCAGCGCGGTGTTCAGCAAACGACAATGACGGACGAGATCCGCATTTCTTTGTCTCAGCACGTAAAGGACAACCCCAAAGTACCTCGACGAGGTGATTCAGGAGCATCTACTCACGGAGGTCGACAATTCAAATGATTTTCCAGTGGCTCGGATTCTTCCAGATGCCCTCGGCGGATACAGAGGACTACTTCATGACGGTATACAGCGGATAAAGGATAACTACGGGCAAATAGAGCACGCCAGGTGTTGCAGATGGGAGCTCAAGCTATTAACACGAGTGAAAGAATCACGTCTCCAGGATTGTTTTATCCCATATGATATTGCATTCTATGCCTGTAGATCAAAATTGCTGCTAATCTATCATTTTTACTTAGTTCGGCCTGCGGTATTATTGTAAACGGGCACTTCTACAAAGTTGCCTCGTACTACGAGCACACACCTTATGTACAAGCGAGGAAGCGGTTAGACTGTCTTACCTTCGCGTGCGAGGGCGGATGTGTGATTGGTCGATTGCTTAAGCAGTCGTACCGCCAGTTGCCTCTCGCTTAGGCGAGAGGGCAACGAACAACTAACAAGTGTCCTACTTAAGTCACGCAGAAGGTTTTTCAGCTTCTCGTGCGCGGTTCTTCGGTGTTTAGCAAATTCAAGACTGAGCTATATTTAATGAATTATAATTAAATGTAACTTAACTACTGATTGTCTACTTATATAAAGATCGGATATGCGACTCTTTAGAAGCGTATCTTGTCGCATGAACTTAAATGTAGATTTAAGCTCGGTAATGACGTCCTTCTGGGACGTCGTGATGCCTAGCTTCAACTAGAGTCATCCCTTCCCATGTGAATCCATCAATGGATATCACATTCACGAGGGTGGATCACATTTGTGTATCGCACCCAAGTGACAGGTTAAAAGTAATCATGGATACTTTTAGACCTTGCACTAAGTATATTAATTAATGTTTACGTGTAACATTGAGCCCGTTACACCATCCCCCCAATTTAAAACGATTTTTACATCTTGTAAAACATCGCCTAGGAGACAGAGAGACTTGCGAGCCGTTATAAACGCGCCGCTTTAGTTATCTCAACTCTCATGCCACCGAAACGTGGTAAGTCTAATGGGTCGCCTGCAAAGGCACCCATGCAGTCCAGCACTAAGCGCACGCGCCGCGATTTATCGCAGCCGTCGCAAAGTGCTTCAGGCACTGAGACAAATCTTCCATCTCACGATAATGTGGATGAAGATCCATCTCTCATTGTAGATTACAATGAGACTACGCCATTGCCATCACTTCAAAGTGGCGATGAGCATAGTGCATTGATGGGACATATGTCCCCATCATTTGAGGCACCCGTCCTTGAGGAAGCATCTATGCTTCCTACAAGCGAAGGTAAAACCTCGTTGCCTGCGCCTACGAGCGCAGCGACTAAGACTGAGCGAGCTACTTCGAAAGGAGTAGTCGCGACTCAGTCAGATGTAACTTCTCAAGCTGATGTCTTGACAATCCATAATGGCGAGTCAGACTCAGGTGAGTGTGAGCGTAAAGCTCCACCAAGTACACCGTCGGCCTCACTAGCCCGCCGTCGCGAGGGCGGCTACGTGAGTGGTGGCTTGCCACCAATGCCCCCTCCATCTGAGTGGATGAACTCGGATGGGTCTAGTGCAGCGCTTTTGCAGCGTGTCACTATAGACGCTCATAAGTTTTATAGCGTCTTTCCCTTGTGGAAAAAGCAGGGCAAAGCACTTGGTCGTGCTTTCCCAATTCCAGTCGTGCTGCGTTCTAACGAAACAGCCGACGAATATGAAGCTAAACTTCGGCGCCGTGTTACCTTGCATGGAGATGCAACGAAACAACGGTCGCAGCGAATCAGCTTCGCCATGAAGCGTGCGCATGAAATTTTGGGTGGTAAGCGACCCCCAATTGATTCTCGCCACGCTTTTTCTGCTAGTCCTTCCGGACCTAGCAGAAAGAAGACAGCTGGTGCTGCTTCGCATAAGCAGCCACAAGCCCAGGCACGTCGACGCGCAAAGCGTCCACAGGCTCCCACGAGTCAAAGCTCGTTGGGTAACCCTTCCACTAGACAAGGATTTGGAGCTTTCGCTTCACAAACCGGTGGGCCAACAGCCTTCCAACAAGGAAGCGCGTATTCCCTTCCGTGTCCACCAACACAGGTGGCGACCGATAGGAGCGGCGATTACACCCACCTACTCGCGTCTGCCTACCCTGCTGCTGTTCAGTCGCAGGCTGAGTCCGCTGCGCTGAAGAGGCAGGTGGTAGATCTCGAGAGTCAAGTCTCGCGTATCTGCGCGATGTGAGGGCGAAGGACCGTCAGGGTTATGACCGCCTGAAGGCCCGTTTGAACATCTTTTAGAGCAAATGGTGATGAGAGACCCGCGTTCAGCGCGGAGATCTCCTCGAACACCGAGTCCTCTGTCGTCTGTCTCTTATCACATATCCGCATCAGTCTAGCGACAACAATGTTGACGTCGACTATGAGTCGAGCGTCGTTGCCGATCAGGCTGGAAGTCGTTCACCTTCCTCTTCGCCTGATCGGCAACGACGCTCGACTCAAGGCCGACTTCACCATCATTGTCGTTAGCCTGATGTGGATATGTGATCTCTTGTGGATCCACATACCGTTTCAGAAGACCCACGTAAAATACGGGGTGCGTCTTCATATACGGTAAGAGAGTGAACCTATATTTTTGGTCTCCAACCCCTCGACCACCGTAAATAGCCCAATGAATCGGGGCAATAGCTTAGTAGTACCACCAGGTAGTACAAAATTGCATGTTTAGGTAGGGTAGCAGTACTTAATAGCACTTTGTCCCCAACACTAAAGTGTTCATTGTTTTTGCGACCATGCTGGTCCGCATATCGTTTTTGCTTGTCCTGTGCGCTTGCCATCGCGTCACGGACTTAACGTGCGATGGCTAATCGCTAATCGCTCATCCACAAAGCGCTGAGCTTCGCTCACACTTTTAGCATCCAGCTCGCCTATGACGTTTTGAAGAGGTCGTTCATGGGCCAACGCTGTTGATAACACTATAGTGTTATCGTCAAGGAGCACCGACATTTCTTGCCGTGATGCCGTGACCACTGCTAAACTAGCAGTGTCACTAGGGAAAACTTGGCCCTTTTTGGCATTCGCACCGAGAGAAGTGAGGGGCCATCCCCCACTAATACTTGAGCTGCGTACAAAGGAGACTGGCATTCGAGGATGACGCAGTCCGTTGATATATAAAACGGTGTTTCACTCGCACTGACGTGAACACTGTATTGAATATTGAGCTCCACGAATGGCAATTGCTTGCTCCATTCTTTTTGGGAGTCTATACTGTACGCAACACATCCCCCACAACTCGATTGCCACGTTCTTTTTTGCCATCGGTCTAGGGATGATCAGCGGTTGACATGTGGAGCTTGCTACCTAGTAGCTCAAACATATGTCGCCAAAACCCCGACGTAAAACGTGGTTTCCGGTCCGATACTATGGACTCGGGCATCCCGTGTAGCCGATACACGTGATCCAGAAACAAGAGGGCAGCCTCTTTTCCTGAGATCTTGGTGCTACATGGTGCCAAATGCACCATCTTGCTCAGTCTGTCTACAAAGACGACGAGCCCCGTCCTTCCTTTATGGTCAGGCGGTAAGCCAAACATTAAGTCCAAACTGACCGACTTCCAACATTCAGTTGAAATCGGCAGTGGCTTCAGTGGCGCACTGCTAGAAGGTGCAGGCTTTATGCGCTGACACTCTTCGCAAGAGCGAATATACTTGGCCACCCACCGGTATTGGTGGGGCCACCAAAATTCCTCGGACACTCGTAAGAATGTCTTTTCACGGCCCAGATGCCCACTAGATGGCGCATCATGGCACTCGTGAAGTATCATCAGTTTGAGATCTGTGTCATGAGGGACATAGATTCTCAAGGGATCACAGGGTGACAGTTGATGCCATAACAGGCCATCACTGTAGCTAAAGCGACTCAGCATCGCTTTCAGGTGCGACAGAAGGGTAACCTTTCGTCCACCAAAATGATCCAACAGCAGGCGACAATGTTCGTCCTGACTGTAACACTCCTTTATATCGGAGGTCAATGAGCTCGTCACATGGTAGGCCTTCATGGCTGCCAGTGTTGACGACTCAACTTGTGCTTTCGCACGAGACAAACTATCCTGGTGTTGTGCCTCGAAGTCTGGTCTGCGCGATAACGCGTCAGCCAAGACATTCAACTTACCCGGCTTATATTCAAATTTGGAATTAAATTCAGAGAAGAATGTTAGCCATCTTGCCATTCTCGTCGAGAGGTGCGGTGAGTTTATAGCGGTCCGCAGTGATGAGTGATCCGTATTAACCACAAAAGGTTCGGTGCCCAAGAGGTGCACCCGAAACTTCACAAGAGCATACTTAATTGAAAGTAGCTCCTTGTCATGCACAGGGTAATTCAGCTCGGCAGCTTTTAAAAGCCGAGACTGATAAGAAATGACACGGTCAGCGCCGTTGTCATCCTTCTGCATGAGCGCGCTGCCGAATGCAAAATTGCTTGCATCGCAGACGACGCTAAAGGGCTTATCCGCGTCTGGCAATGCCAAGACCGATGCCTCTACAAGAGATTTCTTCACTGAAGTGAACGCATCTACTTGCTTCTTTAACCAAGTCCATTCTGTATTCTTTTTCAAAAGATCAGACAATGGCTTAGTCTGCTCCGCATAATTCTTGCTGCATTTATGCAAGTAATTAGCGAGCCCAAGTAATTGGCGCAGATCCTTCACATTACGTGGGACTGGTCATTCCTTTTCAGCCTTAAACTTTCCTGGGTCTGCTCGTACACCGTGTGCACCTACGATGCAGCCCAATACAGGTATCTCGGGGACCCCTATTACGCACTTTTGCAAGTTTACGTATAATTGGGCGTCACCCAGAGTCTGCAAAACAGCGTCTAAATGACGCTTGTGCGACTCTATTGCGCTCAGACCGTCCTCCGCCCTATTATGCACGAATACATCGTCAAAGTAATGGGGCGCGTAGGCACGGTGCTGACGCATCACGTGAGCCACCACTCGGTTACAAGATACTGGAGCCTTTTTAACCCTTGTGGCATCACAAGCCACTCCCACAGCATACCGCTTGGGATGCTTACTGCCGTTTTGGCTACATCGGTATCTCTCATGAGAACTTGATAGTAGCCATCCTTCAGATCCAACGCGGAAAAGATACTTGACTTTCCCATGGAATTCAACAAAACTTCTTTCCGCGGGATCGGCGTTTGAGCCGGAATGGTGGCCGTGTTCAGCTTATTATAAGCATGAACCACGCTCCATCCACCCGTGGCTTTACGCACACAGAAGGTCGGGCTGCAGTGAGTCTACTTGCTCTCACGTACATGTCCCGCCTTGGCTCGCTTGTCGAAGAACTTATCGATGTAATCGATTTGTTCCTTCGTCAACGTCCATTGCCTGGTCACACAATACTTGGTGCCAGGCTCCAGGTCAATCTTGTGCCTGATGCCCCTATCGGCCGGTAGGCGGCTCGGCACTTCTGCTGGAAACACATCACGGTGTTTCCACAGAACATCATAGAACGAGCTGTCCTTCAAGGCATCCCAGCCTTGAGCAGCGAACCGTTTCTTCTTGTCGGTCTCCAAGACGCTCTCATCCATTGTGGATGAAGAGCAACAGTCCACCACGTTCTCCTCTGGAACTGGTGCGACTATCTCGTGGATCTTTCCTTCTTTAGTTCAGACAGGAACAGATCCCACGTCATCTCCGAGAGATTTACTATTTACTCGGCAGATGCCAAAACAAGTTGGAGCACCTCAACTGAAGATGCCTTCGGCATTTGTCTTCGACGGCCTCGAAAAACTCGTTCGTAGGTCCGTCCTCTTGGACCGAGACTGATCCAAGGGTCACTCGTTTCGACGTACCCTTGATCGTCTTAATACGTCTGGTGCTCGTTCTTCGAGTCACCACGACCTTTGAACTGGAAGAATGTGTCGTTGCTATTTCAACTAACGCACCCCTTCCAACCGCACCAGGCTCATGGCTCTGTGCCGGTTCTTGTGGCGCTTGACTTCCTGTCAGCCCACCATCAATTGCCACAGGCTCTCGGCTCTGTGAAGGACCATTGGAAGCATGGCTACCTGTCATCGCTCCATTCACTACACCAGTCTTTTCGACCTGGGTAGGAATATGTGTCACCTGGATTTCTGCCAGGGCACTTCCAACTACACCACTCATTTCGATCTGGGTAGTTCCTCGTGTCGATTGACATACCATCATCACACCCTCGACTGTGTTGTACACAGCATCAGCAACACAAGCCTCTCGCAATAGCACATCCTTTCCGGTGTCTTGCGTAGAGATACCGACTGTGCGTGTACGCCAGCCTATCCATGGTTGGTGTTTAGCCAACCAAGGTATGCCTAGGATGAAGTCATACGGACTCTCCATAACTAGCACTGTGAACGTTTCTTTACAAGAGAAGTCACTAAAGCTGAAGGCGAGTTCAACTTGAACTCCCTCCGATTTGACGAGCGTGCCGTTCGCTAAACGAAAGATCGCCTCTCCTCGCTTGCCATCCTGGCAAAGCGACTCATAACTTGCCGGTCTCTTTTTCATAGCCGCGAGTTTCACAAAATTGTGTGATGCACCCGAATCAACGAGAGGGGTCATCACTTGGTCATAGCCTCGCACTCGAGCGCTATAGACCAAAAAGGTTGAGGTCCGACCTTTCGGAACCTCAGGGACTATGCTACCCATTTGTTCGATCACTCTGAACTTAGGGGTAGCTTCAGAGTCCTCAACAGTAGGGCATCCCGCCCCTACTGCGCTCCCGCATTTCCCGACCCATCTTGGGCAGGTGCTGAACCCATGCGTCGTGCACGCTGGTTTTTCGCACCTCCCTTCGGGTTGGGAGACCTTTGCTGGCTGCCTTAGCACCAGCAGCTACTTTGGCATAGCAGCGAGCCATCATATGGCCGCGCTTGCCGCACTTGTAGCAGATCACATCTGCATTGCCTAATTCCATAGAAGTGGCTTCCGACTTATCGGACGACGGCCTGTAATAGGCTGTCGCCGAGGCGCTGTTGTAGGATTGCTCCTCAACTGAGGCAATGTCAATTGCCTCTTCCATCGTCGCTGGCACCTTTATGAGAAGGGCTTGAAACGATGGGCCGTGCCTAAGTCCATTTATGAACGTGGCCACCTTAATACGTTCCGGTATCGGTTCCCCATTAATGGACGCCAACTGCGAACGCATCTCCTGCACATGCTCTTGCAGAGAGCGTTTCGCGTGTCTTGCTCCAAAGAAGCGCGCCGTAAGCAACACTCCATTGTTAGGCGGCTGGTACATGGTACGAATCTTTGTTTTAAAGATCGCCCGTGATGGAAACGCATCAGCATTTGCCATCAGAGCAGAGTATGCCCCCTCTGACGCTTTGCCACGCAAGTTGGACATGGCATACGACACCATTCTGGTGTCGTCTTCGATAAGCTGCGCCACTCCACATTGCTCCACTGCTAATAGCCAGTTAACAATCGTGTGAGGGCTAGTTCCATCGAACCTCGGAGGGTCCATTCGAATGGGCCTCGGTTGAGCAGGCCGGGCAGAGAGCGTCTCAAGCGTTCTGTTGAGCGCCTCATTCCATGCCTGTTCAAGCCTAGCTCATCCTGAGTCTTATTGATGGACTCAGCGGTGGCTTGGCTGTTTACCTCGGACGCGTTTCTACGCTGTCCGAGCACAAACGCCTCAAATTGCTCCAACTGAGCAACATGTTGCTCAGGAGGACAATGAAAGAGGTTGACCAGGGCTTGTTCACCAAGTCCCTGCGCCATATTCTCTGCCAACTTCCCATGGTGTTGGGAAAGGTGAGGAAAATCACTCCAATCCACGTTTAGGGACATCCGTGTCCACACGCACGCTCAGAGAGAAGGGTCGTGGGAAGGACTGCAAGTGCTACCAAGTGTAGACGGGCACTTCTACGAAGTTGCCTCGTGCTACTAGCACACACCTTCAGCACAAGCGAGTAAGCGGTTAGACTGTCTTACCTTCGCGTGCGAGGGTGGATGTGTGGTTGGTCAACTGCTGAAGCAGTCGTACCGCCAGTTGCCTCTCGCTTAGGCGAGAGGGCAACGAACAACTAACAAGTGTCCTACTTAAGTCACGCAGAAGGTTTTTCAGCTTCTCGTGCGCGGTTCTTCGGTGTTTAGCAAATTCAAGACTGAGCTATATTTAATGAATTATAATTAAATATAACTTAACTACTGATTGTCTACTTATATAAAGATCGGATACGCGACTCTTTAGAAGCGTATCTTGTCGCATGAACTTAAATGTAGATTTAAGCTCGGTAATGACGTCCTTCTGGGACGTCGTGATGCCTAGCTTCAACTAGAGTCATCCCTTCCCATGTGAATCCATCAATGGATATCACATTCACGAGGGTGGATCACATTTATGTATCGCACCCAAGTGACAGGTTAAAAGTAATCATGGATACTTTTAGACCTTGCACTAAGTATATTAATTAATGTTTACGTGTAACTAGATGCCCTTTGACAATATAAGTAAAGAAGAATGAATTAATTGCAGACTTTCTACTCAACTGATTTGTTTATGCTTTAACTTTTTCACAATCTTGATCAAAACTCCACACTAAAGGGAGCTAAACAGTTTTCGTGGTGCGATGGCATTCTGACGCAGGATAGGGTGAATTTTAGAGATTAGTTAATTCGCTACGCCTACTTCTTAGCGACCGAAATAGCTAATGCCGAGCTAGCAAGACCATCGAAACGCTCGTCACATTCTGCTCGAATTTTCTTTCCACATGACGACGAGCTGGTGGACTTTATTAGCAAGGACGTGGCGCTAACTGAAAGCACGCTGCGCATGGGGAATAATATCGCATGATTTTTGGGCACAGTGACAGGTAGCATTGAAGCGGGGCTCCACAATTCTCCATGCCTTCCCATCTTGGCGGTTTTGATTCGCACACTTCGCCACATTATTGTAGTCACACTGGAGGACATTTCCAGTGTGGCACGATACGAAGTAGAGAGCGCAACTCGAGTCTGTCTCCATAGTAAAGAGCTCCCACGCGCCAACCTCAGTGGGATCAAACACGCATTCCCCAGATACGCAAACTTGCAGGAAGCGGCCGTTGTGACCAGACTGGATAGCAATCTTGTCGTCGCGAACTCGATGCAAGACGAGCTGCTCGTAGATGTCACGATTGTCTGTTAGACAACGAGCTTTCTTGGACCCGAGAGGATTCTGCAGATTTCGGTTCTTGCGAATAGACTGAAGAATGACAGGCACACCAAACGGAATCTCGGACAGATCCATGGTTAATACGTTGTTGCGAGGTGGAGAGGTAAAAGGTAAATGCAAGATATTTAATTTGTTGCTAGGTAATTATTCCAAGATCTGAAGCTGTAAAGTGACTAGCCAAGACATCTTTCAGTTTGTGAATGGTCTCCCCGTAGATGGATGGCTTTGATGCCTTTTCATGTGTGGCGGATTTACGAACGTTTAATTACCATCGATTCCTGCAGTGTAAAGTTACAAGAAAATAGACACTGCAAAGCGCTTCTTTGGGAAAGTATAGGCTCTGCTTTGGTGTGGCTTACAACTGCAATGATATTCTTGTCATTTGTAGCCTATATTCCTCACAAAATCTGACTTGTATTTCTGCACGACAGAACAAAAAGTCATTGAGCTTCAATTCTAAAGTCCGATTCGACATTGACGCAGTTTGTGGAGATTTAACATGTGTATCATAGTTGATTAGTTTCTTTATACACGGTTTATGTAGCGATGTTAGTCTTGCTCGATCTGCGCAACTTTGACAGCAGCAAAAGGCTCCACGATCCATCAGTTGTCCCAGTACATGTACACTACTATTGCATTGAAGGAGAATTCCTGAATTGCACGAAACGAAAGGTAGATTGCATCGGTATCCCTTTGCATCATAAAAACCTCCACCTTTCTTAGACGGACGCATTTTACTAAATGCACATGCTTAAAGAAAGCGGCCCGTGCGCACAGACCGAATGCCACAGTCCGAAAAGGATGCCTTAACACGGCCCGAATAGATGAAATGGACGAACTATGGCGTGCTGCATTTCCTGCGAAGGAAATAACGGGAACGTGCTCGTAGGCGTCACAGTTGTCGACAAGGTTGCGAGCCTTTTTGTTGCAGAAGGATTTGTAAAAGCTGTATGTGTGTGTTCTGATTTGCAGAATCACGGGCAACACCGTCGTGCGGCATAACCATAAGCGAGAAAGGACAAAAGCTGAAAATCAGTCGCTTACGACACTTCTCGTTTGATGTTGATGTACCCGGTAAACGAGTTCATATCAAGCAGACAAGTTCTGGAAATATCCGTGTTACGGGTCCTTGACAGCTCTCAATACATTTTTCCCGACTTGCAAACTGATACCACGCCTGGTCAGTGCTGAATAATGCAACTTACATTTTTCTTAGGACGACAATTTCAATAAAATGAGTTTAGGCGTCATTGTAAAAAAAGTTGTACCATGATGTGTGGAAATATATATCTGGACAATAGACATAATGAGAGTAGAAGGGTGCTACAGACATATTGAAACAATTACTGAAGTATGTGAATTGCCTGTGGATCGGCAAGCGATGCTTTCACTGATGCTTCAAACGAAGTTGAACGGGGGATCCAATGCTAGACGTAACCTTCTATCGTTGCACCAACTTTGTACCTCATGGTGACAAGATGAACGCGAGCTGTTTGCGATTATTTTTTTCCAATCTCCTTGGCTGTGTGGTAAATGGCGCCGAATCGCGGGCGAATAGAAGTGGTGCAATTTTAACGGATAAGGAAGTGTGATAACACTCCAGTCACAATACCTGTGATCGCGAATACGGCATTAGTGTCATGTGCTTGACCAGACGGAGTGTCACGTACTTTGCCACACTTGGTGCCAGGACTCTTCTAGCTCCATCAGGTCTATTTCTGGATGTTTTCATCAACGAATTGCACAGAATCTTTTCCTTACTCAGGTATAATAGCTTTAAGATCATGTTGCACACGCATAGATTGAGCAAGTTGGACCACGACTTAGTGTGTGTAAGATAAGATGTATAACAACCATTATTGAGAGCATCTCCAACGCGCGGGGTTACATTTATCCTACTTTTGATGGTTGACAAGATTTTAAAAGTTTTAAGTCATTCTAGTAGTTTTCCAGGATACGTTTCCTGTCTGCTTCTACCTTTAAGACCAGAGGTCCGTCGAACTGACTTGTGCGACTGTTTGCGTGGAGGAACTGCCGTGATGCTCCTTGGTCATGATGTCTGCCAGCGTTGCCGAAGTCAAAGTATACGAGGTCAACTTCGCCGCGATTTGCCTTGCGCAGATGCGATGGTACTTGATATCGATAGTGTGGGCCAAGGTTCACAGGGGTCGTATCCAAGGGAGTCAACTTCACACATGATGAGCTCTATGCATGTATCCTATAAGCACTGCAGGTGTTTAAACACAGTGTTCACAGCTCGATCATGCGTGGCACGGCTGCGTGCACCAGACTCGCATCATCCCAGTTATAAATGCGATTGTGTTGGATCTCCGTGCATGGTGCGCACGGGACAACATTTCCCATCTCCCAGAAGATACTCATGCTGTCGAAAGGCAGCAGGCACGTAGTCAAATGAGATGAGGCGCGTCTCTTAATCCGACAGCAGGCCTTGCTTCTACCTTCACCAATTACGTGGCGTACAATCAATTCTTGCCAATACCGTAGACTCCGTCAAAAGTGTGAAGCTCATTTGCACTGCTTTCCTTCTCCACGTCATCCATATCGTTGTGCTTCCCGCCAGCGCGAAAGCATTTCTGCGAGTGGCGCGCTCGAATTTCGCCATGGGATGTGACGGGTCCACTTCGCCAAGGGGCATGAATTTGTATTGGTTCATACGCTTGCGACCGTAGAAGAGGGCTGCTGACAAATTATAACGGATGGTGAAGTAGGTGGAGTTGGTCAACGATTTAAAAAAGAGCACCACGGCTAGCATCCATAGAAGCTATTTCGCTACCGCTAACTCCGCCAAGCCTGGAGGTATCATCGCAGAGCTCAACTAGGTAGAATAGAATGGATTCATATTTACCTCTACTTATATATCACTGACCAAGTTCCAATCCCTCTACATACACGTCTACCAAGCCCCTCGCATAATCTACATCATTTAAACAATGTCCACCGCAACGTACAGCCTTGCCACACTGGAACTATTCTTCAATGCGGTAGTAGTGTACAATGCCCAGCAGATACGCAGGACTACTGGGATACATGACGAATGGCTGAGTCTTGTGGTGCTGTCAAAGTTGCGCAAATCGAGCAGGACGTGAGTAAAAAGCGTAAAACTACGTATTGTAGCGTGGAAAAACACTAAATAAATTGAGCAATTGCAACTGGCTTGTCGAATTATTATTCGAAGCTCAATGTCTGATGTTCCTGTCGTGGATAGCACTACAAAAAAAGCTTGACGCTATACTGTTCTGCAATGAGCGCTCTGCAGTCTATTTTTTTGGGAACATCATAAAGTATATAAGAAAAGCCGTACATCGTCTCGTTTCATTTTAATAACGTCTCATATGTTGTAAAAGCCGTATGCTATTCGTCACTAATACGCCATTAAAGCTAGATTCTTGCAAATTACAAAATTGTCTTGGCCAGTCATTTTACAACTTCATTTCTTGACCTGCATATACCTTTTACCTTTTCACCTCGCAACAACGTATTAACCATGGATCTTTCCGAGATTCCGTTTGGTGTGCCAGTCATTCTTCAGTCTATTCGCAAGAACCGAAATCTGCAGAATCCTCTCGGGTCCAAGAAAGCTCGTTGTCTAACAGACAATCGTGACATCTACGAGCAGCTCGTCTTGCATCGAGTTCGCGACGACAAGATTGCTATCCAGTCTGGTCACAACGGCCGCTTCCTGCAAGTTTGCGTATCTGGGGAATGCGTGTTTGATCCCACTGAGGCTGGCGCGTGGGAGCTCTTTACTATGGAGACGGACGCAAGTTGCGCTCTCTACTTCGTGTCGTGCCACACTGGAAATGTCCTCCAGTGTGACGACAATAAAGCGGTCAAGTGTGCGAATCAAAACCGCCAAGATGGGGAGGCATGGAGGATCGTGGAGCCCCGCTTTGTTGCTACCACCAACCAAACGCAGCGTGCTTTGGATCAGCGCCACGTCCTCGCTGGCAAAGACCGCCAGCACTTTGTCCTGGAGCTTGCGAAATGTGGTAAAACACCTCAAGAAATCGAGCAGATCGTGACGTGCATGTTTGATGATCCTGCTGGCTCGGCAGTAGCTGTTCCAGTCGCTAAGGAGTAGACGTAGCGTAGACTTTATGTCTGTCTGTCTCGCAATATTCACTGTGACACTGCAACTTGTTTGCTTACACTCGGAAGGGCTGCGTTTTTCCCATGCTCGGTGTGTGGAGTTGGTCGAGATCCTGTCGCCAAAACGATGCAGTGAGAGCAGTCAGTGTGGCCTCGTAGTATGCAACTAATACATTCTCCCTCAATTGAACGCTGCTTGACTACTCCAACCACGATTGCAACGAATCTGCCATTATTGGGTGTTTTCAGCTCAACGTCGCCAGCCGCGACAATGTTTTATATGGCGGTGCATCTCGCGTTTAACTGTGTTCTTCTCGTGGTCCTTGGTCCCCTTGCCACACGAAGAATTCATGACAGCGCTTATGTGTACCAATACCACTTTGCAAACACGAAGACAGTATTCATAGGACGAATAGACAATGTCAAGGTATTATTGTAAAAATTGTTGTAGTTTTTAAAGCCCATGTTTGGAATCTTTTAAATGGAACTAGGGTGTGTGCCCGTCGTTCCGACGGACATGGTTTTACATGTATGCTATTAATACATATATAGGGGTGTTTCCGTCGTTTCGACCAATAGGTGTACAGATTTGACGCTGATCGTATATTGACTTCGGTAATTAATTAGTTCAAAGGTAATGTGTATGAAGGTCGATGTGTACCTGTCGTCTTAAAGATTAGGGTGCTCACCTGTCGTTTCGACGAACATGGTCTGCCTTTTGACCTGTAAACTCATTAACTTACGTTAGATAGTTAGATTGACTTAGGGTGAAGATGGATATGAAGGTCAATGCGTACTCGTCGTTTCGTAAAGATTTCATTTGATCACCCGTCATCTTAACACTACGAAGTTGCATATATAGGCATGTTAAATGAAGCGATTAGCTAGGGTGTTAAGTTGTCGTTCCGACGGAAATTGCGCGTACAGCATATGCTGGTAGTATATAGAGACATTCTTAAAAAAGC